AGGCTGCTTTTTATAGACTCCTAGCAAACACACTAGGTGCTCGTAATGCAGTGGCTTTCATGACAGTGACTTAAAAGGAAAGCTGGACCCCGAGCCTTTGTCTCTACATCTTGGCTCAGACTGCAGTGAGACACCAGGCTCAGGACGAGCTTTCTAAACATGTTCAGGAGCTCTCCAGAACCGAGTAGTAAACACATGGCTCTGCTCACACTCACCGTCACATTCCTTGAATTTACAACAAGATGATTAAAGGCTCGTTCACCCAAATGACGAGAGGAAAGCATATTTTCTCACAGTAGTTATATCTAGACACACAGGTAGTTCTTTTTTTATGCACTGAGATTTAAAAATATCTGCCACAAAAATTTCTTCACAATGAATGTGAACGGAGTTTTGTTTGTAATGTGCCCATAACACTGAAGAATGACATTTAGAAAGCTCAGCAGTAGCGGTTCTTTCAGGAAACTGGTTTAGTTATTCAATAAAATTCACAGGTCTTGATGTGAACATTAATGATTATAGTCATTACTGTTTTCTACTTGTGCCTGGAAAAGCACTTCGCCACTTTCAAGCCGTTTCATTGAAATGCCAGCCAAATTATCTGCATGACTCAATCCCACAGGGAGTAAGTGGAGGTACAGTAGACGCTGTAAATATTTAGCGTTGTGTAATTTCAGTGAACTGACCCTTTACAAAAATAACTTCCCCAAACTCAGTGTTTCCCTTCTCAGGTATGTTTGTGTGACCGTGTCTCTGTGCACACTGTGCAAACATCAAATCACATGCACAATATGATGTCGGTGCATGCATTTGTACATGCTTGACTGCTTTTAAACGTGTCACATGGCCTATGCACAGTGCAACAATGCAAACAGAATAGTGTAGGCACATGTTTTTGTTTTTCTGCAGATCTGGATGGATCTGTGGATCTAGATATGTTTTTACTTTGTGGTAGTCCTGCTCCAGTCTGGAGTCGGAGCCAGCTCCCTGTTTGAACTTGTTCATCTTCAGTTTCATCTGCCGCGTCCTCTCCTCCATGTCCATACCTGAGCACAGAGACAGGAGACTTTCAGATGGCTGGTGCAGTGAGAAAGGCCTGATGGTATGACATACTGTTATGGTGAGAGACAAGCTTCTGCTATGAGCCATGAGCTATGACGAGGACAGATCTAATGGGAAAAAAAGCTGAATGGTCTGTATTAACAAAGAAACAAAACACAAACGAAAAATGCTGACTGGCAAAGGTAAGCTACGTGGAATATTTAACTGTTTCATTTGTAACCAACTGTCCCAATCCCAAGTGCATATAACTATATGGACAATTCTGGCCACTAGCTCGCTTTACTTCAGTGATTCATTCTCAAATAACACAATGTATTGATCCCTACTACACAGTAAAGCAAGTCTGAATGCTATGCCAGTTTACTAAATACACTACATCCTGCAGTGCTTGTGTGCCAAGCTGGGAAACTGGACGTTTTGCATGATATTCTACTGTAGAGAAGTGAATCATTTTCAACAAAGGAAATTCTTGAACAATCTGACTAATTGGACAACATATCCCTCTCAGCTCAAACCGAAATCACTTTTTCTCTTCATTTCATTGCTTTGTAAAGTTGTCGTCCATCTTATGTTCTACATTCAACTTAAGCACTACGCTTTGTTTGACACAGTTAGCATTACACAAACATGACATCATAATCAATACACAAGCTAAACCTTGTTTATTGAAGGAATATTGCAACTGAATCAGAAATATGCACATTTTATCTAACTTAAAATTTGAAAACAATACCTCAGAACAAATCCTTTCTGTTGGAGCTACTGTACTTTTTATCCTCTGCAAAAACTTTTGCAAAAGCAATTGCCAGTCACCACCAAAGAATAACTTTCCTGTTGTACCTGCATCTCCATTCTCTCCACTTGCTCTCTGTCTCTACTTTTGTGTCATAGGATGGCAATAATAAACTGAAGGTGAATGCGCATGTACAAGTGCCATGCCTGTAGCAACACAGATGCACACACACACACACACACAAGAAAAAGCTGTCCAAGCTTGGAGCATATGAATGACTGTTGCCTCATATTCATGTTCCTTGGTTCTGTCTCTGCCTCTCTGGCTTAGCTATTTATTTATACTGCATAAGTAGCATCTCACAGCCTCGACGTTTCCTCAGCTGTCTCTAAATTAGAGGCCTCATTTCATATTAGAACATTCAGCAAACTGCTTATGTCACATTGTATCAGATTTTGTTTTGCAATATCTGTTTGTTTTTTTTATTGATAAACTAATAATGTTATGCTGCTTTAAAAGTCTGTCTGTACCAGCTCACAGAATTTTAAAAGACAGCAGTGGCTGTTGAAGTTAAAGCTGCAAATTTACTCAACTCTACTGTGAATTGAACAGGTTTACTGCCATTTTGGGAATTCCACTCGACTGCTTTCTTGCTGAAAGGTGTATGACAAGATCATTGCCACTGCCATAAGCTAAATGTGAAGCTGGAGTAGCAGAGCTTAGCACACAGGCAACAAACACTGCCTACAAACTCACTAAGGCTCACTAATTACTGTAACAAATAGTATATCTTTTATGCTTTAGTTTTTTAGTCTCTCTGCTGGTTGCCTGGCAACCTCACAGCAATAACACACCCCAGAGACCTAAAACTGGGAGACTATGTGTAAAACTAAATGTGCTGAATGTCAGCTCTTTAACCTCATAGTTATTCTTTCAATTGAAAGCAAATGTGTGAAAGGTTTTCTAAAACACAGTCATCATATATTTCTTGACTGTACTGTGCCTTTTATATAGCCCATAATAAAGGGGACTAACCATTTTAGTAACTTGAATTGCATTCAAAAGCATTCAGATATAGTTTGTCAATTAAGTCATAATTACAGTAAATAGGCAACAAATCAACCTGAGAAAATGAACAAATGTCTACAGTGAGATTAGTCCAGATAGGCAGGATTCTGTTGTCATACACTGACAGTACGTTTTGTTTTATATGCAGACAATAACACTGTCTCATGTACAGACCTACTGTGAAGAAATAGCACTGGCATTACCAAGACCATGCTTCTATGAACATTAAGCCCACACAGTCTGTCTGCAGCAAAATAAAGGCATATGAATGACAAAGAAGCAGGAAGCATCCTCCACAGAACAATTAAGAGTGCAAACTGGATGAGAGCATGAAGGCAAGTGAAGCAGGAAAAGAAAATCTCAGAGATGAGGGGAGGTGGGTATGAGAGGGCAAGCCAGGACAACATACAGAGTGAATAAAAGCAGAAGAAGAAGAAGAAGCTGAGTCAGAAAAAGAAGGGGAAGAAGAAGAAGGGACACACCTGAGTTCGTCCAACTTGGTGAGTCTGTGTCTTCTGAGATCACATCACAGAATGGACAGACACAGAGAGAGGAGAGGAAGATGGAGGTGAGAGGATGCACAAAGGGTAGGGGGGAGGGTGGGGGTGGGGCACCATCACCATGATCACCAAATGTGCCAGGTTTGGAGGGTCAGAGTGAAGTGTGAAGATGACAGGGGGTCGGGAGGGACAGGGACACAATACAACAACAACACAACATGGCAATGACAAAACAACAAGCACAGAACACACAAACAAAATCATAGAGTACACTAAGAACACACAAACTCCACCATGGGCACAGTGAGAAGTCAAAATAGAGCAAGAGGGTGCAAGACCAGGAAAGGCTGAGGTAGACGCTAAGAGTTAAGTTACTAGAAATTAGAAACGTGTAAAGGTTGGGAAGGTGAGGTTCTGTGCTTTAAAGGAAAAAGAGCTGAAACAGGAAAGATGTTAATGTACCAAACCAGACAGAAAGTTGAGACCTCTGGGGATACGACAGGAGAGGGGAGAGGAAAGGAGGGTAGGAAAAGTGGATGTCACTTGAGTCTGCATGGTGTAACTGTGAGGAGACAGCCTGAAAAAAATAACATAAAAGAAAGGAAAACACAAAACAACACAAACTGAAAGCACGGAGCAGCGAGCACACAAAAGAGAGCCGACTACCTAACAGAGTTCCAGCAGGAAACATGAAAAATTGACAAAAGTACAGTGTGCCCTGAGTAGAGTGCAAGACAGTACATTCAAAGGCATAGACACACACACACACACACACACACAAATAGGCCCCAGCTACAGTATCTTTCTGAAAGGTTATGCAATGGCAAAACTCAGTGCCTGCTTTCAGACATCTCCGTTGCTTCCGATTAGTTTCCTCCACTTCATATTATTTGTGTCCTTCCTTCCTTCCGCTCAGCCTGCTGAGGAGTGTTCTGAGCAGGATTTTGTTTCACTTGTTTTTATCCAAATCTAAATTGTGCTTTAATTTCTCCATCAGCAATCAAGACACTTCATAATCAATGGTGTCCACGACCACCCTCAGGGTCACAGTGCCCGTCTAATCTCTGCACACACTGTGGACAGCACCTACAGTCTAAAACCAACAGCAACAGCCAGGAGGGCAAAAGCACCCCATGCAGATCAGACTGAATTTTCATATTCCCTGATGCAGAATTTACATTTGGCTTAATTAGTACTCCATTAGACTGAATAAGGGCCATGTGAACAGAAAAACAATGTGAGACATCTGCATCACCAGCTTTCATCTCTTTGTGGCAGTAAACATCATCTCATTAGGGAGTCAAATGATTCCTTTGTCTCCTTATTTCAGATGCATCATGTTGGTCACTGGGATGAGGGAGTGATGCAAGAAAGCAAAATACCAGCTGGTGTGGAAAAGTCTCCTGTAGTCTGTGGGCTAATAGCGTATTGCATTAACATACCAAATGTAACACAAATGAATGACAAATGATTCCAAGACTCCAGCTACAGACACAACAGGAAGTTAATTATAGTATTTCAAACAATTACAAATGGTGATTCATAAACACCAAGTTGGTAAAATATACCCAGAAATTGTGTTTTCACTCTAGGCTGGGCCCTGCACATAGACACACTTAAGATTCTTAACAGAACACAAGGGTTAAATGGCGGACGGGGTCAGCATTACTCAGGCTTGACAAATGCTAAAAAAGTGCTGAGTTCAGCTGCCAAGAAATTCAGTTCTAAAAAAAACCCTGTGATTTAATATTGATTTAAATACTGCATGTACTAGAAAGGTATGCACACCACAGTGTACTGTAAAGTTTAGTTTATTTAGGTTTACTTTTAATCAAGTTAAGGAATCACGACTTCCCCAAACCATCTCTGACTGTGATTTCACTTGCTTTTATTTTCTCCCCAGAAATATTTCTTTATGTAGATTACGGTATGTTGTTATTGCTGTTAGCAGTGTGTGTATGTGTGTGTGTGTAGAACAGTATAAATGTATGACATGGGAGCATAGTGAACAATCGGGGGTAATAAGGGGTGTGATTAAAATTCCCTGCTTCCTACACAATCATTGTTGAGGAGCCACTGAACATCACTGAGATAGCTCTCAGTGTGGAAGTAACATAAGTGTGGTTAAGCTGGAAAAGAGGATTGTGCTCAGTCAGTCTTTCTGGGATAAATAGCAGTAGGAAAGATATGCAGAGACAGAGACATGGGGGAGTAAGAGGACTGACTGATGAGCGGTTCTGCTGAGGGTACATTACAGCTTGAATGCCAGTAAGTTGGGCGCATAGGCCTTCTGGCCATGTCTGATCCCCTATGCGCCCAAGCATAGTCACTGAGCCTTGCTGTTGTTCTTCATGCTTTTGTTTTTAGCATTTAAAAATAAAATGAAATGCATCTAACATCACCACAGTGAATCAGAGCCTGTGGGCACAACTGATCAAGCAAGTGACATAGTAGGTAAATACAGTATAAATGAGGCTTAAAGGGAGGTGAAGACAAGGTTCCATGGAAGCACCAAAAGCCAGTGCACAGATGCTGTGGTGTCATTGTCTTAACTACATATTTCATGTTTCTTTGTATATACACCCATGAATGACAGCATCTCATCAGACTTCAGTAAGACTGTTATCTACAGAAACATCAGCTCCAGCTGCACTGCAAAACCACACGAAGGAGGAGAAGACACACAGACAGAAGGATGTCATCCAGAGAGTGACCTGGGCGACTTAAATCACAGGATTAAATCATTCTGCTGGCCCATCTGAAATATAAAAAGCATGCTCTCTTCATGCTTGTGTCATATTTTTCAAACATCCAGCTCCTGCTGTACGTTGCCCAGGTCTCCCTTTGGTGACGCTGTAATCCAGCTAATAACAGCCCACACAAACTAGGACATCTCAGAAAAACCCATCAAGCAAACACGCCTTTGGTAGAATATTCTTTTAATTTTGAGGATGCCTACCTCTGTTTGAGCACATGAACAACAAACAGCTGGCTGCCTTGATGAAGAAAGTCACTCTTATTTATAACATTTAGTGATCTAAAGTACTTTTAAGTAAAGTGGTTGGACTCTGGGTTGTTTTATTTACTGACCAAACTTTATTTCTAGCTATGAAAATAAGTATGCTGGACAACATGAATGCCCTTTGGTAAGCAAAGCAGTACAGCTTTAATGGTTTATTAATTTATTTTCCTTGTCCACTTTTGTTTATGTGACCCCTGTTTCATATTATACAATCCCTGACATATTCATTTGACACAATAATACATAAACAAGGACAAATGTTAAATGGTACACACTGACTGAATTTGAGACCTCACAGTTACGGCCTTGCCATGAGCACATAACAAATGTGACAATATGCACTCTAGGCAGTCTTTGTTTTTGTGTCTGATGACATGTTTTATAACTAGTTCACCTTAATGTGATTATGCTGTTATCACTCTGAGGCCCACTGATGCACTAACACAGGTAACAGTATGCATTCCTTGCTGTGACCATACTGTCAACAAACTTTAAATGGGTTGTTTATTGTTCATGGACTCATATAATGACCATAAAAAAGTCTAATACTCCATCAAAGTGGAAAGCAGCTTGAAAGTGGCAGGAATCCACACCCAAACCAACCAACCTGTGTCAGTGAGGGAAGGGTGTGGCTGTGTCCCTCCATCAGACAAAGACCCATTTAGCCCTCGCTGCTGGTCCTCCCATGTCACCTCTATGACAAGACACACACACACACACACATTCATACACAGACACACACTCACTGGTTTGAACTGGTTTTTCAAGTGAGCTTTTTGTAAGGTCTGACATGAAATGTGGTGCAAAATCCCTTCCCCAGAGTCTTCTCTGAAAACCAATTTTTCAGTTTCTTTGCTTTGTAAATACAGAAATTTAAATCCACGGTGTATATATTGTCCAGTGATGACGAGAAGCACTAGTAAAGCTTGATGAGAAAGAAAAGGCCTCTGTCACTTCAGCACTGAATCACAGGCAGCTCCTCTAAGATTATGAACTTTGCGCCATCTGCTGGCCGACAGAAGAAACTGTCTCTGTGGGTCTAAAAAACAAGACATACTCTGCAGGATTTCTACAGCAAAGTAAAATGCACAGAATGCAGGCCAGCTATTCTTTGTTGTTTATGCTATTCACTGTCAAAAAACGTGAAATTACTCATGGAAAAGAGATGCAATGAATATTTATACAGCCTCTGATAGAACTGTGCAAACAATCTCCCAAAGTTACATGTATGACTGAGACTGCCAGTACTGAGTGAGCACTGCACATGGCGTGTGTCTATATGCTCAATAATCCATGTCTAATTGATCTGACTCACAGTTTCACAACAGGAATTGAGAGTTCTGTCCTGATGAGGTGGAGCTTAGCAGAATTCATTTCTCTTAAGGCAGAGTGCAGATTAGTGTCGAGGCCAGAATGGAGCCAGAGAACAGACCAGCAGAGGTCTCAGTGACAGCACTCTGTGCATTTGTATCATCTTTAATACAGCACAATGTTCTAATTTGATCAATAGGGATAAAGCAAACTTAGTGTGCACAGTTTAACAGCTGAAATATAGACAAAGGAAAGTTTGAAGTAAATGACTACAGTGTTTAAATGTACTACAACAAATAAGAAGGCAGAGTCACTCAGAGCAGCTACAGGAAGCACTGTATCAAGAATCATAGCTACCAGTGAATGTCACACATGAAGAACTTGTGTTGGCTGAGGACACCCACACAGCAAAGTCACACCATCACACTATTCAGAGGACTTGCCTTTCCTCCCATTTACTGGTGGGCCTTGGGGTTTTTCCTCACAGTCTGCTGCTAGTAGAGAGACAGATGGAGGCTCATGAAATGGTGGAGCTCGCACTGTATGTGAGCCATGCACTGACAGTTCTACACGCAAACATGCAGCTATCCCAAGAGCTGATAATGAAGTCTGCACAGAATATACAAAGATGTTATAAATGTTTGGTTACTTATACTGTACAGTGTGTGTTAATTGCACCAAACAATTGTTACTATACTCATAATTCAGCGTAAGACCTTCTTACAGCAGCATGTGGCCAGCAGAATATCACTCAGAGCACACTGAATGCAGACAACAGGATGTGACTTTTTGCAAACTTAAATGAGTATCTGCTTAGTCAGTGTGCACTACAGCTATGACAGTGCTGAGTAATAGCACCACACAGTCAAAGGACAGACGCAAGCCACAGAAACAGATGGGAAAGTAGGAAGTGGAAGCTGTGGGGAGCTCCATTTTCTTCCAACAGTCTGCTGTTCATTCAAGCCCAGAGATAAATGTACTGTACGCCGATATATACTGTACATCTCTGAACCCAAAACACACGCTTCACTCCTACACATTTTATTATAATACTGAATTAGTTTGTGTTACGATCTGACCATGAAATTATTCACTTACAGTTTTCCTTAAGAAAGAAATAAAGCAGTATAAAATATTTCAAGAAAATAGAGAAAATGCATGACAAGCTTAAAGGCTCTTTCTGTAGTAAGAAACACACCTGAGTGATCATTTTGGGGTTCAGGTGCCCCGAGCTCTTCCCCTGCTCCCTCTTAGGAGTTGCCACACATAAAAACATAATAATAAAAATTACAGTAATTAGGTATGTGCATGTATACTGTAAGATAGGACTAAATACAAAGTACAGCAGTGAGACAAAAAGGTGACAAGGTTTATCAAAGTTCCAGCTCTTCTCTGGTATCAGCACGGGGCAATCATATGGATCCTGTCCATAAAAAGCTGCAGCATACTGTACACACATCCTCTTGCATTATATAACCTGAGAGCCATACGGCTTTGTGGGAGTTACAGTACAAGATCAGATCAATACCTCCCCCCACTGCCCACACTCTGCCACTATTCTGAAAGCTATGGTAGAGAGAGAGAGAAAGAAAGAAAAGTTATGAACACAAAGACAAAAAGAAGGGGAGAGAGAGAAGTGGACACAAGAGACCACCTGACAGAAAAGTATAAGGAAAAAGAGTGACTAGGTGAAACTCAGAGGAGGAAGGAAAAAAGGGCGACAAAAAAGAGACAGAGAAGACGAGACAGAGATGGCTTCAGAGTGGTAAAACAGATGGAACAGTTACAGAAGAAGGGCGGGACCGAGAGAGAGCAAAGGACACTGTTAGGAAGATACCAAAAGACAGAGACCTGGACAGGTTGGCAGCATTACAGGG